TTCCCAAGACGGTCCAAAGGGCCCGAAGTCGCCGAATAATCTGCCCAAGACGCCCATGATGACTTGACGACGGCCCAAAAGGCCCCAAATACCGCCCAAGAGGCCTCCGAGAGGCCTCCGAAGAGGGCCCCACGAGACCCAAATCGTTGATGTGCTTCGAAACACCTGAACCTGACCAGGTGCTCCGCGGACTGCAGGCATGGGGCAGTGTAAATATTTTCTCTTCGCAGCAAGACAGGGGCACGACAATGCAAGCCACGCGCGCGCAGGCGGATGAAACAGCGGCCGCGCGCGCAGACGGACAGGGAAGGAAGCACGCGGGCAAGCAACCGTCCAGACCGTTTCGCTGGCACGAGGTCTGTTGTGTGTAGATTTGCAGATCCGAGCACACAGTCAAGACGCCGAGAGAAAGGCCACGTCGGGCTGAGGGGGGGGGTCCCGGTTTCGGGCCGCTCCTTCGCTCCAGGCTGGCGAGCCCCTGCCCCTCCCATCACCTGCGCATGCCACTTCCGTCGTCGCCACAACCACGTCATCATCATCGTGGTCACCGCCATGGTAAACACCCTGTCCACAGGCGCTGCCCCTGACCTTCCCAACCCCCTGTGTCCGACCCGCCAAGAAGGATTCCGACCCCTCCGTCTTCCCCAATCGGGCCCCCGAATCCTGAAGTTGTCCCGAATGCCCCGCATTTACCACACCTGTCATGAACGGAATCATCATCACTAACATAGCACCCACCCCCTGCGAGCCCCCCTTCTCCACAACTCGCCCCCCCCATCACCTTCCCAACCCTTGAACCCCGCACATGAGTCAGGCTTTCCCGCCCCCTGTGCATCCCACTTCCGTCGTCGCCACAACCATGTCATCACCGTCGTAGTCCTATATACGCCTCCTACACTCCGTCATCATCTCAGTTGCCATGATCCGCGACCTTCCTGACCAAAATCTGCAGAGGTATGAGGCCACCATCGTTGCCAGCACCCTTTTCGTTGTACTCACCTCATCCAAAGCCTCCCTCTCCCTTCCCCTGCCCTCGGCATTGCATCCCCGCCGAATCTTATCGCCGATGGCCGTCGCGCGCGTCGCCCCTTGCCAACTCGGCGCGCGCGCGCGGCGCGCGCGCACTCCATGGGCCGACGCCCATGCGCCCGTGACCTTCCCATCCCCGTCCCTGCCCATCGCCGACGCTTCAGCCCGCATAGTCGCACTTCGCTCGCACACTGCACGCCGGCGCATCGTGCCAAGACCCCCAAGCGGAGCGCAGCGAGCTTCAAGTCGTGTATATATAAATATATACGTGTGTAAATGTATATATATATAGCTATATGTATGTATGAAAAAGACGCCCACGGCGAATCACCGCCGCCCCCTGCCTTTTTGGAAGCGCCTATGCGGCCGAACGTTGAGGCCAGACCTGTCAAGCTATCGGGCCATGTGCCCCCCGAGTCGGTTTGGAAAGCCTTCAGGGAACACGTGGGCGTCTTGAAAGTCATCTTGGCCGCCTGGAGGCCATTTTGACCCTTTCGGGCCTTCTTGGAGGACGTGTTGGAGGGCGCTTGGATCGTCTTGGGGGCCATCTTGAGCGTCTTGGAGGCCTCTTGGGCCGTCTTGGGGCCTTCTGGGGGCCGTCGTGGGCCTCTTGGGCGATCTTTGGGTGCACTTGGGCCGTCTCGGGCCGTCAGGAGGCAGAAAAAAAACAACAATGAACAACTCAGGGGAAATCAATGATTTTGATTGTTTCGGCCCTTCCTGGGGGCCCTCTTGGAAGCCTTTTGGGCCGTCCTGGGCCATCTTAGGGCCATTTTCGGTCGTTTTGGTGGGCCCCTGGCCCGTCCGACGCCGTCGGAAGCCCTTTGGGGGGCCCTCTGGGGCGATTTGGGGCCGTCTTGGAATGCTCCAGGGCCGTCTTGGAGGCCATTTTGGGTGTCTTAAGCGCCTCCTGGGCCGTCTAGGGGGCCTCTTGGGCCGTTCTGGGGCCATCTTGGAGGCCTCTTGGGCGATCTCGGGGGGGTCTTGGCCCGAATTGGGCCTTCGGATGGCCGAAAAGACGCAAATGTCAAAATCCTTCAAGCACCTAAGGCGCATCATTGCTTTTTGCCTTTTCTGGCCTTCCTGGAGGCACTCTTGGAGGCCTCTTGGGCCGTCTTGGGCCAGCTTCGAGCCAACTTCAGCCTTCTTGGTGGGCTCCTGGCCCGTCTGACGCCGTCGGGAACCGTTTGGGAGGCCTCTCTGGGCCGACTTGGGACCCTCTTTGGGTGTTCCAGGGCTGTCTTAGAGGCCGTCTTGGGCGTCTTGGAGGCCTCTTCGGTCGTTTTGTGTGCCCTCTTGGGGCCGTCTTGGGGGCCTCTTGGGCAGTCCTGAAGCCATCTTAGAGGCCTCTTGGGCGCTGTGGGGGCGATCTTGGGGGCCGCTTGGGCCGCCTTGGGTCGTCGGAAAGCCGGAAAAGGAGCACACATGACAAACATTATATACAATATTTAAGGACAGTCAGCGATTTGGG